TGCAACACCCGAAGAGAGCAGGGAAGTAAACGTTAAAATTGAACAATTTAATAAAGATAATGCACAGGCTAAATTTTATCTTGGCAGTTTGGTAGAATCTCAACATCGTGTCCACGTTATTAAGCCGACACTAGCGAAAGAAGGATGGTTGAAACTGCATCAGATGTTTGACACTGCCACAAGTCAGAGGTTAGATAAGCTACTCGCTAAGTTTCATGCACTGGAATTCAACACAGAAGAAAGCGTTACAACATACGTTGGAAATCTGCATTGTTTATTTAGTAAAATAAACGAAGAACTCATGAAGAAAGGAAAAAATACAATGGACGAATGCATTTTAATGGGCCGTATTTTGTATACTTTGCCTACGGAATTTAACACGACTAAATCAATTTGGGAAACTACGCCTGAAAGAGATCGCACTATCGATTTATTAATGGAAAGGCTTCGTAATGAAGAAGAACGCATCAAGCAAATAAAGGAGGATGAATCTACCGCGTTACGTGTTGAATCATCATCAAAACATGGCAATCGTGACAAACGTAATAATGAACGATACACGCGCACTGATCGAGAAAACAAGGATGGCAAAAATGATTCATCAAAATTCGGTCGAAGAAATTACACAGAAAAGCCTAAAAGAAGGATGAATAGTGACAACAAGAGGTTCAGTGGAAAATGCCATAACTGTGGAGAAATTGGGCATATAAAATTCTATTGCAAGAAGCCAAGCAATACAAATAACAACGCAGAAAGTTCTTTGAATGCTGCAAGCGCGACAGCATTAACGTGTTATGACAATGACGATAAATTAGTACCCTGGGTAATTGATTCTGGTTGCTCGCATCACATGACAAATAATAAAGATATCTTCGTTTCTTTTAAATCATTTCAGATCCCAGAAGTAATACGCAGTGCTAATGGCAGCAAGATGCATGCATATGGATCTGGTCGGATTCTTGCCGAAACAATGGTAAATGGCAAATGGAACGAATGCTATCTTGAAGATGTTTGGTATGTTCCAAGGATTGAATGTCCATTATTCTCGATTAGCCAGTCGAATAGACATGGAATTGATGCGATTCTCAACGCCAACGGAAGATGTAAATTAATAAAAAATGGGAAAATAATTGCTATGGGAAGACGTCAGTCAAACAATCAATTGTGGCTGCTGAATTTACGTGTGAAGAAACCGGAGAAATCCGCATGTGTTTACTTAGCTGCCTCTACAGAATCCCTGCAGATTATGCACGAGCGATTGGCACATCAAAATAAATGTTATGTTGCGGAATTCTTAAAGGTTCGAGGAATCGAAACGGATACGACTGAAGAATTTTGTGAAGGTTGCGTCAAAGGCAAAATGAAACGCAAGAGTCACAGCTTGCGAGAAATACGTGCAACGAAACCAGGAGAACAGATCAACGCAGATCTTGTTGGACCAATGAGCGAATTGTCATTAGGTGGATCGCGATACGCACTTATCTTGAAGGATGATTATACGAAATTTCGTCGATTATTTTGTTTAAAAACAAAGGATGAGACACCTGAATGCATTGAGATTTTCCTGAATGAAGCTAAAACAGCAGGACATTGTGTGAAAACACTTATGTGTGATCCAGGCACTGAATTTGTTAATTCAAAACTTAAAACCATTTTGCAGAGACATGGAGTAACGATGCGATCAATGACAGATACACCGCAGCAAAATGGAGCAGCTGAACGTGAGAATAGAACTGTAATTGAGGCAGCACGTTCTATGGTCCACCATAAATCTTTGCCGATCAAGTTATGGGCGGAAGCATGCAACACGGCGGTGTACGTCTTGAATCATACAGCTCCGACACCAGTCAAAGAGAAGACTCCAGAAGAATTATGGTTTGGTAAACTAATTCCATTTAAATCATCACGTTTGCGTATTTTTGGAACCAAAGTTTGGTATCTGTTGCCGGATCGTTTTCGCAAAGGCAAATTTAGCTCAAAATCGAGATTTGGTCTTCTCGTTGGTTATGAAGGCTGCGATGGTTATCGCATTTGGGATATGGGAAGACGCGATATTGTACGTTCCTGTAATGTAAAATTCGAACCGGAGAAACCCTTTGAATCTGTAATACAAGAACGGAATGAATCGAAGAAAGAAGAAATAATAATTCCGGGTACAACTTTTTCACCAGAGCCAACGGAATCAGCAATAGAAGAAAGTCAAGTACCAGAGTGCACCAACACGGAAGATGTCGAGGAGGAAAGGGAAACGCGTCCACAAAGAAATCGTCGTCCACCAAGTTACTTAAAAGATTATGCATGTCACTATGTATTTCTTGCTGGACATACTCCAAACTCGTACACTAAAGCAATCAACTCGGAAGATGCAGGAATGTGGAAAGCAGCAATGAATGAAGAAATGAAAGCGCATATGGATAATGGAACATGGGAATTATGTGAATTGCCAAAACACAAACAACTTTTAACTAATCGATGGGTTTATTGTATCAAGACCAAAGCTGATGGCACTATATACAAAGCAAGAGCACGTTTGATCGTCCGAGGATTTACCCAAAAGGCCGGAATTGATTACAATGAACTTTTCTCACCGGTAGCACGACATGACACCATAAGGACAGTATTGAGTGTGGCAGCTACTCAACGATTAAAATTGCGACAATTCGACATCAAAACAGCTTTTTTATATGGCAAGGTTGATGAAGAACTGTATATGTGTCAACCTGAAGGATTCGAAGATGGAAGCGACCGAGTATGTAAACTTGTGAAATCATTATACGGGCTAAGACAAGCATCAAGATGTTGGAATAATCGCTTTGTTGAATTTATTTGCTCAAAAGGGTTTTATGTTAGCGATGCTGATCCATGTTTATTCATTCGTGACCGTGGTAAGAAATATCTATTCATAACATTATATGTAGATGACGGTCTAATTGTTAGGTCAGATGATAATGAAATTGATGAGCTTATTGCGGCATTAAAAGCAGAATTTAAAATTACGACGGGCTCACTTGATTCGTTTCTAGGAATTCAGATTAAACAATTGGAGGAAGGAATCTTTATTAATCAGCCAGCCTATACTGAACAGATTATCAAGAGGTTTGGAATGGCAAAAGCAGTTCCAATGTCTACGCCAATGGAGGCAATTGATAAGAATGAAGATAGTCCTGATTTAGATGGAAAGATGCCTTATCGTGAAGCTGTCGGATGCTTGCAATATTTAACAATAACAACAAGGCCAGACATAGCTTTTTCGGTTGGAGTGGTTGCACGTTCAGTCTCAAAACCAAGTATGGCTAATTGGCGTCGAGTTCAACATATTTTTTGCTATTTGCGAGGAACTGTTGATTTTGGTCTATTTTATCGATTTGATTGTCAAAAACCATTTGAAACATACACCGATGCTGACTTTGCTGGAGATTGGAGAACGGATCGTTCTACAACTGGTGTGGTGAGCGTACATGCTGATGGAGCAATCGTTTGGGCAAGCAAACTTCAAAATAATGTCACTTTGTCTACTACAGAGGCCGAGTACGTCGCAGCAAGTGAAGGAGCTATAGACATTAAATGGTTAAAGACACTATTTAGAGAACTCATTGGTTTCAAGGGGCAACCCTATTTAAATTGTGATAACCAAAGTGCAATAGCATTAACGGAAAATCGTATGTTTCACAAGCGTACCAAACATATTAACGTCCGATATAATTTCATTCGCGAAGCTCATGAATCTGGAGAACTTTGTGTAAGATATGTTGATACAAAACGACAATTAGCCGATTTATTGACGAAATGTGTGAAACCAAGTATTCAATTTACTACGCTTCGTAATCAACTTGGGTTAACTTCGATTATTAATGTGCATGAAAGATTCAAATTTAAGTAGTTATTTTTTTTGTATTGACATTTGCTTGAAGGGGCATGTTAGGAATACCAATCAAATGTCACTAAATACCCAGCTAGTTTATTAGTTGGCACCCCTGTTCTTTTAGCCCGCCATGTTCTACTCGCTATATATGTATAGACTCTTCTTGTCGTTCTTCCCGCGCGATTAGCATTGTCCGCACGGAATGTTATCTTTCTTTCATTTTATATATACTCTCACTTTTGTACAACGCAACAAGAAGTTTCTTTGTAATAAACGATATCAGTTTTCACTGCTGATTGTGTTCTTGCGAATGAGAGTTTGATTCACGGACCTGAGCCTCGTGAAAGACTTAACATATGTTATTAATAAAATTATATAAAAAATAAAAAAAACTATATTTTTATTATTATATAGATTTAGTTATGTGTAAATAATTTAGGTAAATGTTTCTTCCCATTTCTAATCAAAGAAACTTTTTAACGATTTTAAAATATAAAACAATAAGAATTTACCTAAATTTTTCTGTAATTGCTTATTTGATTTTATTTTTTGTTATTATTTTTCTTAATCATTTCATTAATATTACTTCATTTCTTTGTTTTTAAATTCTATTACCATTCGTATTTTAATTAAATATATAAAAAAATTATGTAAAGAAAATAAAAACATACATGAATTTTCTTCATCTTCCGATTCCGAAAAATCAAAGCGTTTAGGTTTGATTATTGTTTGCTTATCTGGTAATTTATTATTTACTTTTTTAGTTATTTCTACAAATGCTTCTTCATCGTTGGTAGAAATGTCCATAGATTTTTGTTCAATCTTTCTGGCTTCATTGTAGGTTGCTTGAAAATTATGTTAAAAATAAAATCTCTATTTAATTTGTATCTTTGCAATATAATTTAAATAAATAGATAATAATAAAGTAATATTTACCAAAAGGTCCTAAAAGTTTAGAATAAGTTATTGTATGCCAATCGATACGAGGTGATGAACCTTTTTTGCTTTCAGTAGTAGCACTTTTATTTTTTGGTGGCCATCGAAAACTGCGGGATTTTAAAAGAATTCAGGATGCAGGTATAGTAGCACACCATTTACTCCATATAACCACAAAATACATTCTACAAAAATAAAATATGTTTTGTCAGTTTAGTAATTTTTGTTATTAGTTATTGAATATTTAATAGTCTAGAATATTAAATAATCTTTTTTTAATATACAGGGTGATTCAGAATAAAAGTGTCCCTGTAAAGACGTATTCTTGGCTCAATTCTAAGACGATTTTACAAAAATTTTGTCCGAAGCTTAGTTTTCAAATTATAACGAGAAATAGTTAGCGAATTACGGGCCGTGTACGGATGGTAGACAGGGGCGGCGCAACTTACTGTCCGCTGGCAGACGGTACGCGGGACCGTCGCGACGATCAGCTGACTACACGCGCGCATAAACATGCGTTTACATTCTCTCTCTCTCTCTCTCTCTTTTTTTCACACATACACACACGCACGCACGCACGCACGCACGCACGCACGCACGCAATATCTTACCTTTTGAAAGATTTGTCGACTTCTCGAAAAAGATGGATTAATTCCCATATGATTTCCACGTAATGAGTGTTTATTTTAATAAATTTTCAATAGTTTTAATGCAAACGTCACAAGTTATCATTGACACAGATCAAATAATTAAATAATTCTTTTTTTTTACAAACCGTGTCACTTCAATATTTCACACTCAATTCACATACAAATTATTTACTTGAAGAAATTACAAGAAATCTTCTAATGTATTTACTTAATATCCGTACTATTACGTACTTTACAATAACTGACGATTAATTATTCGTCCACTGAAAAATCACTCAAAGAAAGAAACACACGGCGATTTATTAACACGCGACCCGTTCACTCGACGATAGCAAGCAGTCGACTGACTTTGTTGGTTACGTTTGCAGCGCTGTCGAAACGCGAACATATGATTAGTTGAAATATCACAATCAGAGCGCTGCTACATTCTAAGGCTTTAACCGATACAAGTATTTGATTATTTTTTTAATAATTTAAATGATTTAATTGATTAATTATTTTTAATAAATTTTTTATTTTTATAATTTGCAAACTTCAAGCGAGTATTTTATGTTTTATAAATATTTTATTAAGTATTTATTAAGTATTTATTACTTTTAATAAAAAAATAAACTTTTACTTTTTAATAAAAGTATTAAGTATTTATTACTTTTACTTGTAAAGAAAGGGCTATATGTCAGGAATGAAGGCCTTTTATGTCAGGAAATAGTTAAGAGAGGGCAACTAGACTAAGGAGACTAGGCAAAACGGATAGAACACCTCGTAGCAGTGTATAAACGACTTGTACTTTATTATCTTGACAACGGAAAACACGCACGTCCGATCAAGTCCGCGATCGGTTACAATCTGTCTTTCTGGCGTCAACGGCGCCAGAAATATCTCAAGCGATCAATCAGGTGTCGCGCTTTGAAAAATGACCAATGAGAAGCGGTCACGCATACCTGAGGCTGTAGGCCCAATCATGAGCGCTAGAAACAACGAGCTGAGCGCCACAGGCGCGAACGCAACGCTATGTTACCAAGTATTTATTAAGTATTTATTACTTTTAATAAAAGTAATAAACTTTTACTTTTTAATAAAAGTAATAAATACTTAATAAAATATTTATAAAACATAAAATACTCGCTTCAAGTTTGCAAACTTGTAAAAATAAAAAATTTATTAAAAATAATTAATCAATTAAATCATTTAAATTATTTAAAAAATAATCAAATACTTGTATCGGTTGAAGCCTTAGAACTTAGCCGCGCTCTGATTGTGATATTTCAACTAATCACATGTTCGCGTTTCGACAGCGCTGCAAACGTAACCAACAAAGTCAGTCGACTGCTTATTATCGTCGAGTGAACGCCTCGTGTGTCAGTAAATCGTCGTGGGTTAGTAAATAGTGCGCGTGTTTCTTCCCTCGACTGAGTTTTCAATCGACGAATAATTAATCGACACGGATTGATAATTATTAACTACTTAATACATTCGGTATTAAAATTAGTCGATTGCTTGCTATCGTCGAGCGAACAGGTCGCGTGTTAATAAATCGCCGTGTATTTCTTTCTTCGTGTGATTTTTCAGTGGACGGATAATTAATCGTCAGTTATTGTAAAGTACGTAATAGTACGGATATTAAATAAATACATTAGAAGATTTCTCGTAATTTCTTCAAGTGCATAATTTGTATGTGAATTGAGTGTGAAATATTGAAGTGACACCGCGGTTTGTAAAAAAAAAAAGAATTATCTAATTATTTGATCTGTGTCAATGATAACTTGTGAAGTTTGCACTAAAACTATTGAAAATTTATTAAAATAAACACTCATTACGTGGAAATCACATGGGAATTAATCCCTCTTTTTCGAGAAGTTGACAAATCTTTCAAAAGGTAAGATATTGCGTGCGTGCGTGCGTGTGTGTGTGTGTGTGTGTGTGTGTGTGTGTGTGTGTGTGTGAAAACATAGAGAGAGAGAGAGAATGTAAACGCATGTTTATGCGCGCGTGTAGTCAGCTGATCGTCGCGACGGTCCCGCGTACCGCCTGCCGGCGGACAGTAAGTTGCGCCGTCCCTGCCTACCATCCGTACGCGGCCCGTAATTTGCTAACTATTTCTCGTTATAATTTGAAAACTAAGTTTCGGACAAAATTTTTGTAAAGGAAAAATCGTCTTAGAATTGAGTCAAGAATACGTCTTTTCAGGGACACCGGGGTTATTCTGAATCACCCTGTATACGTGTATGTGTGTGCATGTATACGTGCGCGCATGTGTGTGTGTGTGTGTGTGTGTGTGTGTGTGTGTGTGTGTGTGTATTAAAATTCATATACAATAATTTAATTATTTATATTGCATTTACCTGAATTGGTATAGAAATCTACAAATACGTTGTTACTATAGCGATATAAACAACAGAATAATGCTTATTGTCGTAACAACTGGCGTGTTTTCAATCCGGACAAAATAGCTAATCCTAATACTCATGGAGCGATAGAGTATGATTGATTCTTATTTGTGGATTCAACCAATCATAAGGTCTACTGCACTGTATGCACCTTTTGCACTTAAAATCTTTGCTTTCTCTTCAACGCCTGAATATGTGTTTATCTCGTTTAAGTATACAAATTTTTAATGATTTCAAGCAATAATAACAAACTAAATAATTGAGCAGGTTAGGAAGCTTTGAATCATGGTTGCATTTCGAGAGCACACTATTAGGAATAGGATTCTTATTGAAACAGAAAATCAGAATTGGGAAACCAATCAGAAATTGCATTTAGCTGCCAAGTGCTAATTAGCATTTTTTAATTAAGACATTATATTTAATTATAAGATATTAATACAATGTTAAATATAATAACCGACTATACTAACCTTACGTCTTGCAATTTGTTACTTGAGGATTTCTAGTATAACGAATATTTCCACCAATCAAATACGTGCATGCTTTTTTCGATGCGCGTTATAACACGTTATAATTAACTCTTGCACACAGGAAAAACACTTGTCGCGTGGCAAGAAGTAAAAAATACCGCGGTAACTTATAACAATAAACTTATAACTTCTAAAGAAAAATAACTGATAAAAAATAAATGAAGAAAATTATTAAAGAAAAAATAAATGATTTTAAAAAAGTATAATGACAAATTTCTTTATTATTATATCATACATACATAATATATATGTGCAAAATACGAATTTTCACAAACATGAGTGAATTAAAGAAAAAAAACAAAACGATTTTTTATACGGAATACAGATTGCTTTTATATTAATATCATTTGCATTATAAATTTGTAAATCAGACCAATTATTTCCGACTACAACATGAAATAATTTTGAATTTATAGGATAATGTGGAAGATTTGTTGAATTTATTAACTTTTTTGCTTTTAAAAATATTTTTTCATTAGATACATAAATATTTTTAATACACAAAATAGTATAATCTTGTAAATAGCAAAATTTATCTTTTTTTTTTAACTGAAAAGATGAAATTTTTATATAAAATAGTATCGTATACAGAAACTCCCATTTTTTGAGATTTTTTAGAATTAAAATTAATGACTGAAGGTTTTAAAAAAATAACTTTATTCTTTTTAAAGTTACATTCAGCTTGCTCAACTATTCTATGATGAAGTTGATATAAAGGTTTTCTTGTTTTTTTAAATCTATTCTTAATGTGATTTAAAAAACTTTCGAAAGGAAAACTACTAAATGAATCTAAATGACAAAACTTTGCAGCATCATCCGCTAAATGGATTAAATTATGAACATTATAAATAATAAACTCTTGTTCATACAATAATTTTGAAATGTTGACAAAATAAATTAATAAATCTTTAGCATACTAATTATTCTCAATACAATCTACATCATGGCATAGAATCCTGATTGCGCAATGTAACGAATTAAAATGCAGTAGATAATCTTCAGGCAAACGATTTTGAAGAACAACTGGCCCTATGTATAATAAAAACAGTCGTAATTCCGTTGCCTTCCAACGATCTAAGTCGTTTAAGCTTCTTGGTTTACGAACAAATTCATTTGGTATCCATTCAGATAAATTACATAAATCCTCAGAAATTTCTGTTATTACTTTTGCACTAAATTTTACAGCCCGTTACAAAAATTTGAAGCATCTTTTTCATTACTCCCAGACAAACTAGGTGCATGTAGTCTAATGGAATAATTGACTAACCATCCCTATGTTTGTTGTTTCAAAAATAGATGTGTCATTATGATGTTCTTCATTCACTTGTTGAACAAAATTTTTATCAGTTCTTAACTTTGGATTCATATCCAAAAATATCATTCGATGATCTATGTTTTCCCCTTCTTGCATACACTTAGAACATCCAAAATATCCATTAAAAGCTTTAACAAAAGATAGGGCTGGAGCATCACAAATAATACATCTAATTGTAACTTTAAATTTTAAATCTTTATAATAAAATTTTTCTTTGTGTAAAACGTTATATTTATCGATGAATTCTTTTAGAAATACGTTAGAAGAAGTAGGTTTACTATATCCGTGGTATGCTCCAATAACAAATGGCTCCGAGATTTTAGGATAAATGTGTCCTAATATTGGATAAAGTTGACTTGAAGAACTTTTTTGGCTAAAGGTAATCCATCTATATTAATATTAATTAGGATATTATCAGATATGTCAGAAATATTAACTGTTTTTAATATGTCAATTAAAGCTGTTTTTAAACCGTAATGAAAGTATTTCCCTGGTGGAAGAGCAC